TTGAGAAAGAATAAACTAGTTTTAATTAAGAAAGGACTCGTATCGCTGAAGTTCCTCGGAAAGAATTTATACTGGAAATTAACAAACGACCAGATAAGTAACAAATTGGTGTCAATAGTGGGATAAAAGAAAAAAAAGAAGAAGATGGAAATGAGAAGTGGCAAATCAAACTACAGCTTAGCAGATTTGATGGCAGCAATACAAGAACAGCAAAAGAAACAAGAAGAACGAGAAGATAAACAAGAAAAGAAATTACAGCAGTTGTTGGAAGAAAAAGAAAAGAAACAAGAAGAGAGACAACAGCAGTGACAAGAAAACTTGCAACAGTGGCAGCTCAAACAGTAAAATAAATGAGAGATTACAGCAGTTGTTGGAGAAAAAAGAAAGAAACAAGAAGAACAAGATAAGAAATAAGAAGAGAGATTACAGCAGTTGTTGGAGAAAAAGGGCTGTAATCTCTCTTCTTGTTTCTTATCTCGTTCTTCTTGTTTCTTTTTGTTGTTGGATGATAAAGAAAAGAAACAAGAAGAGAGACTACAGCAGTTGTTGGAGGAAAAAGAAAAGAAACAAGAAGAGAGACTACAGCAGTGGCAACTGGAACAAGAAAGGAAACAGGAAGAGTCTCCAACAGTTGCGGGAAAGTCAGCAGCAACTACAGGAAAGTCAACAACAGTGGCAAGAAGTACAAATGGAAAACATTAGTAAATTTCAAAGTGAATTAGATACATTAAAGGACGATTTACTGTCTTTTACACAGGGAGGATATATTAACCATGGACTTAATCAGCCCCAGACAACTGGAAGCCCCTTCCCGACCCCGCAGCTAAACCCTAATGCAAACATCTTCAGTCCTGCCAGAAGTCAGATTCCAGACATGTGTGTCAGCAATAGGGGTGATCTAGTACGAAGGAAGCCACGATGGGAAGGCACCGTGGGAAGCATATAGAGCACAATTTGAGCTACTGGCAGAAATGAATGGATGGACAGAGGAGCAGAAAGCAGTGTACCTGGCAAAGAGCCTAAAGGGACAACCACTGGAAATACCTGGACAGTTATCACCAGATGACAGGCACAACTATAGAGCACTGGTAACTGCTCTAGAACTACTCCTGGATACTCACCTCTAAAAGAATTTGGGGGTGAGAGAAACACCATACGAAACTACTACAGGCTTTGCACACTAAAATCAAATTGTGTGCATTTGTGGTATATGAAAATACCATGCATTCCCATATCGTTGTAATGTTACAGCATTTTATTCTGATTTTATTCTGTATATGTGTAGGTTTTACATAAGACGTGATCAATAAAGCTGTTATGTTTACTTCATTCTAACTTCCTCTGTTCTTTTGTGATACTCTAGTATTCTACCCATGGATGATACTGCTGCAATACTGTACGTTGTGAAAGGATTTCAACAGTAGTATCTTCTTATGGTATGCCAGGTGATACTTCAAAGTTAAATTTCCCTTTTGTTTTAATGAAATTGACCAACAGTGACATAAATTAGGTCATTAAATATGTTAATTTCAAGACAATATGACAAAAAAACCAAAATCCTCTCTAATCAGTAACCCTACTTTCAAGGTTGTCTCCACACTTTCAATCATTCTAATATGTATTACAATTCACAACTTTTTTGTGACTGGCTTACTGTTATAAAAAATTGTGCCTAAGTTGTTGATCTGTTAATGTATAAATTTTGAGTTGCATTTAAACAGCTCGTAATATTATAGTATTTATTCTAAATTTATCCTAATTGCATATATGTACAGGTTTCGCATAACACAATGTCGAAAAAATTAACTTCATTTCTTTCTAGTTGTTTTTGTTCTTAATGTCATTATCAAGTAGATAATACATGTTCTACCAACAGGTGTGTTGCTGTAATATGGTATGTTGTGCAATGTTCTCAAATGGTTGGTCAGGTGATATCTCAAGATTACAACCTCCTTCCTGTTTCATTGGGACTTACCTACAGCAACAGTGGTGGCACAAACATCCTTAGAATATAGTGTTGTAGATATTTGGTATATAATACTATGTTCTCGATGTTAGCTCTCTCTCTCAAGGTTTGGCAGTCAGTTTGATGGTGAAGTTTAAATCTTTTCTTTATGAAAAATAATACACTCCTAAAGTTAACCTCTAAGTGTAACATTAACTCATTGTTATTAAACATCTATATAAGTTGTTAGGAGAGTATAGAGAATTAACTAGTAATTGTACTGTATTTCACCCTGTGCACATTATTTGGATTCTTTCTGAGTATAAACAAAGACGTTTCATTCCATTTTTTTACATTTGTATCTAATGTCTTTTTTCTTAAACTCAGTAGCTAAGACTAAAACCATAAGTGAGTTTAAACAGATGTTTCTGATCACAGTACTTTGTTCACATATGCATGCTTCAGCTGTACCATTTACATCATGTAAATTATCTTTACATAAAAAAACTATTGTAATTCCAATAAACTTCAGAGCCTATAAAATAGGTAAAGTACAAACTCTTTTAAACAGGGAAATGCTATTTTTATCTGTATTCAGTCAAATGTTCTACTCATCACAGTAAGTTGCACCACAGAACTATTCTTAAGGGTTGTGCAAACTTCAGAAATATTTTTTTAAAGTTAAAAAATTCGTGTTTTTGAATTATTTGAAACTATCAACATTTCCTTTAGTTGTTTAAAATTCAGAACCAAATAAATAATAAAATGATGTACAATCAAAGAAGTATCCATTAAAAATGATCATAAAACTTCAAAATATTTCTTGGTTTATTAAAATTAAGGTTTTGTTTATGACTTTCCACAGAAACATATAATAAAACACATGTTTGATTAGTGTTTTGTGTTGTTAATAGAAGAAAGCACTGAAATGACCCAATTCTTCCTTGAAGTTATAGAGTCACCAGTCTGGTAGCAATTGCTCCCTGAATAAGAAGAGAAAAACAATAATACATATTTTTAACAAATGTAAAAATGTTTCTTAAATTATGCACAAAATAAAATTGATTTTCTACACATATTCACTTCTAGTTTGCTTCCATTTAAGAAAGAAAATCCCTGTTAATACTAGATGTTTGAATAACATGGATTAAAATTATTTTACTGTTGCACTCATAAAGTCAGAAAAACACAGGTTCAGTAAGTCTTGATACAAAATGATAAAAACCCTACTGATACACTACAATTTTACATAAACTTTCTAGACTTGCACAATGACATTCTGATATTTCAAGTTATTCATACTTCAGCCTACAATACTACAACAATGATCTTCGAACAAGAATGTTGCAACTTGATGGTACACAATAAAGTTTTGTTTTTATTTATAAAAGAATATTTGATCATGGCAGTCACATTAAATTTTCACTGACTTTTCCAAGTTTAAAATAATTTCTCAATTTTTCCTAACATTTTGATTCCTTTTTCAAATTTCCCGTCTTTTCCAGGTTTGTGGCTGTCTTAATATGCATGTCTTTTTTTTCTGATATTAAAGACAAAAGAAATTCACATATCATATCCTTTGTAGCATATGTATGAAAGTGGTTTATGAACATGTTCACAATATTCAGTTTAACATAGAGGGAACTGTGTGCATTATGTAGATCACTAATGTTTGATGAAATTTAAAAGCTATCTTTGTGTATTTGAGAATAAAACTATAATAAAACATTTACTTATATTATTGGGTTTTAAACCTCCAGCTCAAATAAACAATATATGTAAAAAAAGACAGAATATGGTATAAATAATGCATCTTAGTTCATACGTTTGAAATTGCAGGAACATAGCAATGAAGATTTTTCTTATAGATAATGTAAACCTTATTTCAATATGTAATCTAAACTTTTATTATTTTTTTAACTATTCTATTAGAGCATGTCCTGAATATCCTTCAGCAGTATTCAGATTATTATTTACTAAGTAAAAACGTAACTAAATGTTTTGTATCAAACAATTTCAAGCATACATGTAATATGTTAAAGTTAGTCACTTTGTTTTGCATTCCTGTTACATTCAGATAACATTTTAATGTTGCATTGTTTCTCCATTTCATGTGGTTAAGGCTATATCTAATGTATTATACCAAAAAGTTTTTCTGATGTTTTTTGTTTCAATAAATCATACAGAAAGTTTTATGACTACTTTGTAAGCTTTTAAGATGTGACAAGTGTTGGTCATCTAAAAAGTTATTATTTAGTTTATTTAGTAATTTAATATTAAATGATTATTTAGTTTTCATAACATGAGTGTTAAAAGTTAATTATTTTAAAAGTGATAGGTATGACAAGTTTTGTTACGTTGTTGTTACTAGAGGGCTATATATTTCTAGATTTTTCTGTTGTTTGTTATAACTACATGCAGATACAGAGAGGAAGCAAATAAGTTAGTAAAAAAAATTAAGTTAGTGAAAGTAAAAATAATGATGAAGTTAGACTGCATGATTGTCAGTTTAGCCATAACAGGTGATCTCTAAAGTGAGTTTCACAGTTTGTATTGTAAAAACAGATAAACAAAAATAATTTTTCTTGTCAAAGGGTGTTCCAAAGTAATTGAACCTGCCTATGTGGACTTTCGATATAAAAGAGAATTATTTAAAGCTCTGGATACAACTGTGATAACCAATAGTGTAAAGACATTTTGTACATACATTTAAATTGTTCTGAATATATTATTTTAAAACAAGTAGATTGTGTGCTGTCCGTTTATTGTTGAAATTTATCGCCAACTGGTCACAGACACCTACTGTAACAGAATTTGGCCCCAGCCCTATAAAAATTTTACAAATGTAAACCCATATTCTTGTTTTAATAAGACTATGATAATATTTTTTTAATTACTACTGAGAATTTGTTAAACAACACAGCTTTTAAATATAGTTCAAGATTAAATTAAAATTTGCAAAGAACCAACAATATTAATAATTCTAAAGAATATAGTTATTTTTCGTTCTCATATTAGAAAACACTTACTGGAAAGGAATAGATGAACAAAACCATCAGTAAAACTGAAAGAAGGATAATTAAAATGGTGATGATATACATTTTGTAGTTTCTCCAAACAACATGTTTGAATGATTTCCACGGTGATGTAAACCACAAGAAAGAGGTTGCTGGACGGCTATAACAACATAATTGTAATATCAGAATTCTCATATTAAAAACATCATTCATTATCCAAAAAAGAAAGTCCCAAAAACTAGTAATTGAATGACAATGTAATATTAACATGTTTAAAATTACATATATAACAAAGAGAAGAATAACAATAACAGTAAGATGTTGCACAACAGCTATCTCATGGAATTCATTTCCCACCAAAATCTACATTACGAACTATATTCTAACTTGAAAACTGATACTCGTAACACTTTTGTGTATGTATCTAATTGACACTGGTTTTTTTGTTAATCCTATCTTTAATTCACTATTGGAATAGGCAGTTTTCTAATTCCTCTTTCACTCAACTTTTATAACAGCATTTATACTTCATCAACCACTGATAAAAGGTTTTAGCAAATTTTGTCTCATACTGATATTTTTTTATGAAAACACAATTATTCATTGAAAAATGTTAAAACACATATCTACTTTGGAGGCTCAAGAGTTGGATTAGCATTCGGTTCATCCCTGCCTAATCCTGCAGGTGCCTTTTCTGCATCTTCTTCTGTTAAAATCTCTAACTCCATCTCAACTTTTCCCTGCACAAAAAATTTCTTTGGAAACAATACCACAAAAAAGTTCTATATTTCTTATATTAAAAATACATCATTTCTATCTTAGTTCTTCATTCAAACTTGTGTAATCAAATAATACTACACGAATTTGTTTTTTTAAATAGTGGTTTATCTGAATGAATCGTAAATTTATTGTGTAACTCAGCAATGCGATTTCAAACATAAATCATTTCAACCTTATATCTTAGTAACCAGTGTGAAAGGGTCATGAAGAGGATTTGGAGATAGTTAATAGCTTATTCATTAAGTAAGATTTAGTCAGACAGATATTTACTGCATTGTAAATGAAAATCAATGTTCATGTGTATATGTGTGTGTCTGCGATACAATAAAACAAAAAAAGGACCCAAGCCTAAAAGCTTATGCTTTTTGGTTTAAAAAACAAATTCAAACATACATGTTCTAGTGTGTGATACCATGTTAATTAGTTAACAAAAAACAACTCATATCTATATATATTCTAGTGTGAGATATCACATTTCTTGATTTCAATCAAAAACTCATAACTAGATGATCTAGTGCAATAATATCCTGTTACTCAAGTTACTCAAACCTACACAGTCTACCACCTGAGACATGTTACTTAGATTAAAAATTATTCTAATATGGACATTATAATGTATGATATTATAATCTTGCACTAAAAATTAATCAAACTTAAAATGCCTTCAATGTCATATCAGTTCTTCACTTGAAGTATTAAAAGTTAAGAATAATATGAAAAATTAAAATATACCTACAGCAAGAATTCTTCCTTGTTCAGGATCATTGCCAAAACATGGCCAAAACCCATATACCCTCTTCTTTTCAAACAGGTTGATGTATTTTGCATTTTTGCTATTTTTCTTTTTTCTAAAGCTCAGTAACTTCCTTTCTTTTGTTTCCATACCCAACTGATGTAAGCCACATTTTGCAGCATTTTTAGCTGGCATGGGCATGGAGTTCAGATCAATTTCTAAAGTACCTAAATTTTATTATAGAGCCAGCTTTTAATTTAACTTTGTTATATTACATATTTCATGGTAAGATCAGTGTTTTGATTCTCAGAGTTAAATTATTTCAACTTCAGAAAGTGAGTCTAGAAAAATCTTAAAAGCAATACATGTATAATAAACTTCAAGGAATCAGTACTTATCAAACACAAAGTTGACTACATAAATACTACTGATATTAAATTATATATATATATTTCTTTATAACTTAAGTGAAAATGTTCTCTAATATTTCACATTGTAGTTGTCAGTTATAACATATACCAAAATTATAAATGTCAAAAAATAATAACAGAAAAAAGTATTGTAGTATTATATAAGATAAGTAAAAAATAAACAACCACAGACTTAGCAAATGTCTGACTGAACATTCATACAAGTTATATTTTCTCATCACTTTTATAATGTAGTCTCATATTGTCTAGACATTTTAATATTTTTTATCCTATTTTTAATTTTTGCAAGTTAGTTAAGTTTTTATAATTCAATGGAAGTAAAAGGTTATAAACCTACAAATATTCAGTTAGTTAATGTGTGATTTACCAATCAAGTCATCTGAAGAAAATGTATCATTATCCCAAATCTGGAGACAAAGAATAGGTGGTAAGTGATGTTCTGTAACATCCAGTGACCAAAAATGTTCTTTTTTTTTTACAACCAGGTGCCCCTCAGTCACAAGATATTCCAATGGAAATACTAGTCGCCAGTTAAAATTTCCTTCTCCATCCATTGACCTTGAAAATAAAAGTAGAGCAACACAGACAGATAAGGGTCAGGCTTCCTTAAGTGTCCAATTTCATGTTGCCATATAATAATTTCTAAATGATAGACAGAGCTTTCCAAACATATATAATATGTTGACTTTACATTAAGTTTTTTCGGCAAACAAAGGAAATAAACAATGATGGGGTGTTAAAAGTAGTAGAAAAATTTTATTTCAAAGCAATAACACAAACACAAAAATTGTAAGTATGACTGAAGCCTTTATTGTGATTAATTTGTAAACATTTATGTTTTGAAATTTTATAATAAGCTGATTGTCTCATTACTTTTTCACATATGAAAAGATTAGAGTCTAAAATCAATCCTGGAAGTATACAATTTGATTTGATCATACCCCAAACACAGGGTATCAAGAGATATTTTTGGTATGTCCATTTGGAGCTTGTAATATAATTATTTTCTTTAAGCACATGATTTCTTTTACACATATATCTAGTGTAGATACTCAAATTATGTCATTTTGTTATATCGTTATACACAACAGCCAAGACATTTGTTGTTATCACTAACTGAAAGGATAAGAGTAAATTACATTCTCTAATAAAAAATCACTGAACATGAAAATTGTGTGAACTCTTTTATGCATTCTTCTTTACTTCAGTTTTGCTTCAGAGGGGAATATATAGTGTAATGCTTTTCCCACCATATTTAGTTTCCATCATGTGCAGATGATTAGGATAGGGTGGATTTGAAATGTATTAGTCACAAATCAATTCATTTTCCTGCAAGAAAAGTCCCTGAAAGTAGGATTACATAACAGATGTGTATCTCTTTAACTGTATAACTAACATTCAAATGGTGTGAGTAGTGGTAAATCTGTGAGTGATAATTAGGGGAATATTTATAAAAACAAATAATTGAGGACATGGTGAAATGCATGTAAAGGAGTTCACAGCATGGGTAAAGTAGATTACCATTTTAATTCAACTCCTTATATATGCTTTGCACTTCTTAGTATTGTTACGTCTCTAGTCAATTGTTAATTTTTCATAAAAAAATTTTCTGAAGAAACTTTAGCTATAATTCACAATGATTCACGCATTTACTTACGGTCACTACCGTGTTTGGCTCAATTGTCCGTCTCTATCTCTGCCTGTCTACAATTCAATTCCGATTAATTTGTCTCACGTTATCCGGTGCACTTATATACAAGAATAGAGGATGCCTAGCACATTCCGGATTATTCGTGATGTTCCTCGATCCTTCTAGAATATCATGACGTGTTACCAGAGTCATGTGACTACCGCTGTCGTAACACTGCCCCTTCCTTAGTATTGTTTGTCATGAACAATAGCCACTTACATTAAACCAATAGATAATTAACAATAACTTAATTAAATGGACAGAATTTACAAAAACAAAATAAAAATTCAACAAAGTCATTTTACGGGATGTATCTTCTTCTGTACTGGCTTCTGCTTCATGTGAGGATCATCTGCTCCATCGGGAATTGTCCTATTATTGGGAACAGTCACATCAGTGGTAGTAACTTCATCAAGGG